AAAGAATTCTCCAATCTCCTTAATGTACAGGTACAATGGTGAACTGCTGTGGTCTGCTAACTGCCCAGAAGGAACCAGGTACAGATCTTTATGGAAAACCAACTGTATAATGGGTCTCCCTCTTTTTATACTCTGTGTTTAGTCGTTTCCTCTTCTAAAGGAAAACCTGCACGTAGTTGTAAAAACATTCTTTTTGCTCTTTGAATTTTCAAAGTGTGACTGACCAACAGTAAAATGCCAGTGGTCTATATATTTCTGTTGAGCGTTTTTCTTGTTTTAGTTCCTCTGAGGAGCATCGAGGTGGAGCTGCAGGTGAAGGACCATGTAGCTACAGTGATCTCCACTCTGATCTATGACAACAAGGAGGACAAACCTCTGGAGGCGGTTTTTGTCTTCCCTCTGCCAGGAGATGCTGCTGTGTGTCATTTCAGTGCAAAGCTTGGAAAGACGCACGTTGTGGCGGAGGTGAAGGAGAAACAGCAGGTGAGCTGAGCCCAGAGGCTGACTTACTGTAACAAAGCTGAAACACGGCGGGGTCAACCCCACCCACTCGTCTCCTGTGCACTGCAGGCTCGTGAGGAGTACGATGACGCGCTGAGCTCCGGCCAGCAGGCCTTCCTCCTGGAGGAGAGCGAGCAAAGCTCCGACATATTCTCCATGAGTGTGGGCAGTCTGCCTCCAGGGGAGAGCGCCTCCATCAGGCTGGAGTATGTCACTGAGCTGGCTGTGCAGGCTGATGACGGGCTGAGGTTCTGTCTGCCCGCTGTGCTCAACCCCCGCTACCAACCCCAGGGTGGGAAAAGCCGCCAACAAGCTGAGCCCATGTTCAGCAAACACGTTTGTCCTAGATGTTACATTGTAATAACACCATGATCGCTATGGAAGTCCGACATGATTGGTCGGCAGCTGCGTCACTAAGCTCTTCCAGATCAAACACAGGTGTGTGAGCCGTCTCATGTCTGCTGCAGGTGCTGCAGGTGTGGCTGTCCAGGTGACGTCGGTCCCAGCCTCTCTGGTGCCCTACAGTCTGTCCTTTAGTGCCCGGGTTTCTGCGCCTCGTCCCATCTCCAAAGTGGAGTCCAGCAGCTCCCTGGAGCCTCTTCAGTACCTCAGCGCTGACCAGACACAGGCCACTGTGGGTATAGCTGGCAGACTCTCCTTTGTGTTGATGTGTTCAGATACCAAACATTTGCGTGTTTCACTGCAGGTGAAGTTATCCGAAGCGCACAAGTTTGACAGAGATGTTGAGCTGCTGATTTATTACAAAGACGCCCACCAGCCCACTGCTGTGGTGGAGGCTGGACAGGCTTCGGCCAAGTCTGGTGAGGGGTCGAGTTGTTGGATAGAAATGAAGATGTCCTGGTTTAGTAAAATGCTGCTGGTGTATGTAGATTAGTTGTGCTTTCGTCATTGCTTTGGTGTTTCAGGCACTCTGATGGGTGATGCGGTGGCCATGGTGAGCCTGTACCCTGAGTTCCCTCAGGCTGTGATGTCCTCACTTCAATCGTGTGGAGAGTTTGTGTTCTTGATGGATCGATCAGGCAGTATGAGCTGTCCCATCAACAACCAAAAGCAGCAAGAAACGCGCATTAGCAGTGCAAGGGTACGCAAGGACCATGAAGTGGATAGTCAACACCTTCCCGTCTCTCTTTGACAGCTCTTCAGTGTTTACTGTTTCTCCTTTTAGGATACTCTGCTGCTTCTGTTGAAGAGCTTACCGATGGGCTGCTACTTCAATATCTATAGTTTTGGGTCTCGGTTTGAGCACATCTTCCCGTAAGTGAACACAAATGAGCAGAAAGCATCCGTGCAGGGTTTTAGATGAGAACCCCCCCACTTTGGTTCTGTTGGCAGCACGAGTGTGGAGTACAGTGAGAAGACCATGGAGGATGCTCTGAAGAAAGTTGAGCAGATGCAGGCTAATCTGGGAGGAACAGAGATTCTTCAGCCCCTCCGACACATTTACAGCCAGCCCTGCATTCCCAAACAGCCCAGACAAGTGAGAGCACACGCACCTGCAGTTGAATTGTTTGAAACTGTTCCGCATTTTTTCTTTTACTGTTGAGCTCACAACATAACAAGTTAAACCCTGGAACAACCTGTTTGGGGGGGTTTTTTAAGCTCGTATTTGTCATATCTTACCACTTCCTTTGTCAATATTACACACCGCTCATTCATCACATGTGTAGGTGTAACATATTTTCTCCTCCCATAGCTGTTTGTCTTCACCGATGGAGAGGTGGGGAACACCAAAGAAGTTATAGCTCTTGTTAGGAAGAATTCAGGCTCCCACAGGTAAAAAAAAAAAAAAAAAAAAACATTTTAAACCCTCAAGACTTTTAAAGAATTGTCTTGTTGTACTGTTGCGTGTGTTGAAACCAAACCACTGTATTGTAGGTGCTTCTCTTTTGGGATTGGGGAGGGGGCGAGCTCTGCTCTCATCAATGGGTTGGCCAAGGAGGGAGGGGGTCATGCTCAGTTCATCACAGGAACTGACAGGATGCAGCCAAAGGTAAGTAACCATTAAATACACGACATTAAGGGAAAGAGGGTATAATAACTAAACAAATACATTTTTTCCCCTTTTTTTTTTTTTAACCTCCAGGTGATGCAGTCGCTGAGATTTGCATTGCAGCCAGCTGTGGAAGACATCTCAGTAACATGGAGTTTACCAAAAGAGGTGTCGGCCACCGTTCTCTCTCCACCAATCACTGTACTTTTCCAGGGTCAAAGGTCCCTGATTTACGCCCAGCTCACTGGGACGGTAGGTGTAGTGTTGGAAAAAACACACAAACATTGATCTCTTTCCCAAGCGACCTTATTTTGTAATGTGTGAAACGTTTTTCAGGGTTCAGAGGCAGCAGTGGGCAGTGTGACAGTGAAGTACAGCCTTGCAGGTCAACCCTCTGAGAGCCAGCTGCATTTCGGCCTCAAACCTGCAGAGGACACTGGGTAAAATAAATAACAGAGTAGAATTCCTTTCTAATCAGAGGAAGTAAGCAGTTTAAGTTATAGGGGCATGTAGAGGCAGTGGGACACGTTATCCTGCTCTGTAAACTGGACCATTTGCTAATTTTTGTGTCTGTGTTGATGTTGCAAAACTCGCACAAACAATAAATAGATTTAGTCTCCATTCTTTTGTTCTCTCTCGTCTCACCTCCCCCATTCACACCACAGGTAGCAGAGAGTAAGATCTGAGGGAAACAGGGGTTTTGAGGGACTAAAAGCTGAGGTGTAAATATGACCTGTGCCTCTGCCTCCATCCTGCATGCAGATTAACGGTCCACAGGCTGGCTGCTCGCACTGTCATTCGCTGCCTGGAATCAGAGGACAGGCCACTCGAACAGGAAAAGAAAGAAGTGAAGGAGAAGGTGGTTGATCTAAGTGTCCAATCAGGAGTGAGCAGTTCTTTCACCGCCTTCATCGCTGTCAACAAAGACAGTGGAGAGTCCATTCAAGGACCTCTGCTGCGCCGCAATGTTCCAACACCCAGTGAGTGTTTATGGATTTATTACACACTCATTTCTTTTTGGAGGCAAAAGAATGAAGAATCTTGTCCATTTAAAACGCAATGTGCTGGTTGGATCTTGACGTTATGATAGATGTCCTTTTGATTTCTTTATAAATGATAAACAATACTGAGACTGTCATCTCTTATGAGTCGCTTTGAACAACAGCAAAGTCACCATTTCTAGTTCATTTTTCAATAATGTCTGACTATTAATTAAACTGGTTTAAATCTTTTAGAGCAGGTTTGCTCTGATATTAGAATGCTTAGAATGCTTTTTTATTTAAAAATAATGGTTTTCAATAGTTGTGAGGTATATGTTTTTCTTGTTCACCAAAATAATTTTCACATATCTCACTTTCTCAGTGGCTCTGTGTAGGGGTGCACCTAGAGAAATGATATTGCGTTCAGGTAAGTAAACGGCTCATCTTTGAGAATTTAGTGTTTTTAAAACTGCATATGGAAAAATACAAATAATGGTGAAAACTACTAAAGATGTTTTCACTATCCATGCAGTAAGTGAATATTGCATTTAATATTTAGAAAAGATTTAGCATTTTGTCTGTGCTTTGTTTGCATGTCCAGATTACTCATTATTTAAACACAATGTATCATGTTTTGAATATTTTAACCATCTTTTTCACTGACTTTTTGCATTGCAGTTGATGTTACTGCAATAGGAAAAAAAATATGATATATGTCCTTTGGATTTTTTATAACTGATTAACAATACTGACTGGTCATCTCATATGACTCGCTTTGAACAACAGCAAAGTCACCATTTTTAGTTCATTTTTCAATAATGTCTGACTATTACTTAAACTTGTTCAATGCTTTTAGAACAGGTTTGCTCTCATATTTTAATTTGCACTCAGAATGCTTATTTATTTAAAAATAATGGTTTTCAATAGTTGTGACGTAGATGTTTTTTTTGTTCACCAAAATAATTTTCACATATCTCACTGTCTCAGTGGATCTGTGTATGGATGCACCTAGAGCAAAGTCTTATCGTTCAGGTAAGTAAACGGCTCATCTTTAATAATTTTGTGTTTTTAAAACTGTTTGTGCATATGGAAAAATACAAATAATGGTGCAAACTACTAAAGACGTTTTCACTATCCATGCAGTAAATGAATATTGCATTTAATATTTAGAAATTATTTAGCATTTAGTCTGTGCTTTGTTTGTATGTCCAGATTACTCATTATTTAAACATGTTTTGTATCATGTTTTGAATATTTTAACCATCTTTTTCACTGACTTTTTACATTGCAGTGTATGTTTAATGACCTCACTTCTTCTGTCTGTCTTCAAACCATCTGACTGCACAGCTCCAATCCTAAGGGCCTGTTCTGCTCTTTTCAAAGCTAAGAAAATTGAAAAAATGAAAGATGAAACACTGAAGGGAACTGTGAACACATCTGTAAAAGGTGAAAAGACATGAGTGTAAATCATCAACAGACCAAAAAAGTACTTTTATAGGTTGATAAGTTTCTAGCAGCATCTTTCTGGAGTGTTGTTATGATTGAAACCACATTATTTTTGACATTCTTTACATTTGTCTCTTTGCTAATTAAAGCAAACACCGAAAGGTGCAGTATTAAGTGGGTTGTGGGGAAAATTATTCATTTTCCTTTTTTCACTTTTGTATTTTTGTTTTACACATTCTGCTTTTTTTTTACTTTCAGAAGGGAGCAACAAAATATGGAGGAGTGCTGAATGTATGTTGAGTAATGTTTTTTGATCATATACATTTATTTGTTTAGCTTTCACACTCTGAACAAAACGCTGAAAAACAACAACAAAAAAGCCAGTTAAGCCAAAATGTTTAAACTCAGTCGTTTGCTTTTTACCTGCCAGGTTCCAAGATGTTTGCCCGATCGAGTGAGTATAGAGCTGAATATCAACGCATATTTTTGGAATAAGAACACAAGACATTTGACCATTTTTTTCATGAGTAGTAACATAACATAATGATTCCGTCGTGGGATTCGATTAGATTTTATTCATAGAGCACCACATCACAACAGTTACTGTATCTCACAGCGCTTTCCAAACAGAGCAGGTCGGACCCTACTCTGAAGTTATTTACAGAAGCCCAACAATTCCCACCAAGAGCAAGCCCTAGGCGACACAGGCAATGAAAAACTTCCTTTTAAGAGGCAGAGACCTCGAACAGAACCATGGTTCGGGGTGGGCGGCCATCTGCCTCGGCTGGTTGGGGGTGGTAGACGGAGAGGGCAAGTAATAGAGAGCGAGAGGACAGAGGGAGGCAGCCTTCACAGTAACACATAGACTGGATGAAAACTGGCAATGATCTTGATACTAATTATATCAGTAATGATAGCAATAAGACTATGAACGGTGGCTGTAATTGTAGCAGAGTAGGAACATGGGGACAGCAGGAGACTCCCAATCACAGATCCAGCTTCCACAGATCTAGGAACACCTGCAGGAAGAGATAGGAGGAGACTCCCAACCATAGATACAGACTCCACAGCTCCAGAGCCAGGAACATCTGCAGGAAGTGATAGGTGAGAGGAGAGGGACGAGAAAGCACACGACTACGGGAAAGGGAGAGAGTCCAGTTCGTAACGTGTGTTAATGGAATGAGGTTGCACTGCGAGGGAGAGAAAGAAAGGAGAAGAGCTCGGTGCATCGTGGGAAATCCCCCGGAAGTTTAGGCCTATAGCACTAGGGGTGGACTTACCCTAACTATAAACTCTATCATAAAGGAAAGTCTTAAGCCTACTCTTAAATGTAGAGATGGTGTCTGCCTCCTGGACCCAAACTGTAACCTGGTTCTACAGCAGAAGACTCGTGATAGCTGAATTCTCTGGCTCCCATTCTAGTTTTCAAGACTCTAGGAATCGCAAGTAACCCTGCATTCTGGGAGCGCAGTGCTCTGGTAGGGCAGTAAGGTACTATGAGCTCTTTAAGATAAGATGGTGCCTGACCATGAAGAGCTTTGTATGTAAGGAGAAGGATTTTAAATTCTGTTCTGGATTTAACAGGAAGCCAGTGAAGAGAAGCCAAGACAGGAGAAATATGATCTCTTTTACTGGTTCCTGTAAGAACACGTGCTGCAGCATTCTGGATCAGCTAAAGAGTCTTAATGGAATTTTGAAAAGCCTGATAATTGGGAATCGCAGTAATTCAGCCTAGAAGTAACAAATGCATGGATTAGTTTTCATCATTTTTACACAGGGTGCTCCTGATTTTTGCAATATTATATAGGTGAAAGAAGGCGCTTCTTGAGATTTGCTTAATGTGAGGGTTAAACGACATGTCCTGATCAAAGATAACTCCAACATTTCTCACAGTGGTGCTGGAGGCCAGGACGATGCCTTCTAGGGAAACTATATCTCTAGATAATGCGTCACAGAGGTGCTTAGGCCCTAGAACAATAAATTCAGTTTTATCTCAGTTTACCATTAGAAAATTGCAGGTCACCCAGGTTTTAACATCCTCAAGACTCATTTGAAGCTTTGCTAGCTGCTGACTTTCATTTGGTTTGATCGAAAGATATAACTAACTATCATCGGCATACTCTGGCTTGCATGGAGGACTCATCGTTAACATGCACAAACTGAAACTTAAAGTTCAGAATGAGGAAGCAAACACAGAAAGGTGCAGAATTAAGTGGGTTGTTTGGGAAAATAACAAATTTTCCTTTACTTGTATATATTTGTTTATTTGCAAATATTCTGCTTTTTTTAAATTTACTTTAACAAGAGGGCCACTGGAAGGGGATTATATTTTACGGAGGTAAAGGATCAGCTGAACGCCATCTGGAGACTAAGACTCAATGTTTTCATATTTTAAAAAATTAAAATAAATGTTTTTTTTTTAATTGTTGCATGTTTAAGGTTCTAGCATTGAGAGTATTTGGTTCCCATTTGTCCATGTTCTAATGGACCTGTAGCACCAGCCAGAGGGCAGCAGGTCAAACAGCTGGTAGGCAGGTTGACTGCTGTCTCTAAAATGATGCGTCTGTATGTGTCTTTGAAGATCTTACACCCAAGCAGCCTCCCAGAGACCCTCTGCTGCAGCTGGTCTCCCTGCAGAAGGCGTCCGGCTGCTGGCTGCTTGATGCGGCTCTGGCCTCTGCGCTGGGAAAGACCCGCCAAGAGGTGGAAAAGGCAAAGCCTGCACCGGTGGGTCACTGGCAAGATTTGGCATCACAACAGGTCTAATGTGAAAGTGACAACAGTTTAATATTGAGCATGAAGCTAACTACCATAACATGGAACATATCACACAGTATCCCCCAGCTGCTCTGCCTCTGAAGCTTATTTGTCATGTTAAGAGCCTTTTTCCACTGAGGTGGTTTGTTGTAGATGATATTTTTTCAATATTTAATTTTTCTGTGGTAAAATAGATCAACAAAGAGGTGTGGGCCACCATTCTGGCTCTGATCTGGCTTCATGGTTTCAAGATGGATGCAAAGGAGGAGTGGGAGCTTCTGGCTGCAAAGGCTGCATCGTGGCTCCGTGCTCAGAACGGTAAGGCCCTCCATTCGTATAAAAGTGCTGTTCTTTAAGTGTTTTCTGGTTAATAGGAGCTGTTTTCCAACATTACTGAACACATTTGTATGTACTTTCTTCATTGTCAGCATGTCAGACAGAATGTGTGGATGCTGGAAATGCTCTGCTGGGCTGCAGCGTGCAGAAAGATGCTCTGGGACTCTGAGATTTTTAGCAAAGGTGCTTTACTGGCTTTAACAACCCACAACACAAATGTTTACCATATTACTCTGCAACACCTGCTTTTACTTATCCATCCGTCCATTTCCAGTTGTCGTTGGACTGGAGGGGGTACACCTTGGCCAAATTTAAAATAATCAGTTGACTCTACATGCATCTTTTTGGACTCCAGGAGAAGCGACAGTATGGGCACAACTACTCCAAACAAAGGTTCAACACGGGTTTTAAACGTGAACCCTCAAGTTGATCATTGACAATGATATGTATGTACTTGCACTGCACACTGAAGTTTATTTTAGTTAACTGTAGAGAAACTGTATTACTATGATATAGCAGCTCTTTTCAAGATCTGTTTTTCATTGAACCATTTTTTGTTGCAGCAAATGTCTTGGATTGCAATGTATTTTATTTGTTTTTTCTCAAAGTGCCTTACATTTGTTGTCACTATTATTATTATTTTTTCATCATCTCTATAAATACAGTTTTTTAATTTTAATTAACAACCTTTCCTTTTTCACAGTGAACAGGGGCATTAAGGCCCCGATATGGACATATTACATAGACCACACATTTACATCAATTTTTTTTTTCTTTTTTATTCCCGGCACTCTGTCGCCTTATACGTGTGCGCTGCTATACATGTGACTACAATGACTAGCAGATTCAAGTTTGTTTTTCTTGCCTGAGCTGTTATTCATCCAGCGTACAATGAGCTTTGAATATTATCACTCATATGGTCTTTAAAAGCTTGAACTCCCTACCCAATATAAGTCATCATTTACCCTGGCGTGTGAGTCTTTGATGCAAATTAAAACTATATAAACAGAAAAAACAGTCCTATTTTACTTTGTCATGGTCTTGGCTCCGGTGCTGGTCTGATTACTAATTGGACACACCTGTGCAGCTCCGCCCCGTAACCGCCATAAAACAAGACGAAGAAGAAGCTCCGCCCCGTTCTGATCAGCCTTCACCAGATCCACCTGCACCTCTGACTACAGACCCAGCCCTCAGCCCAGCCACTGGGGCCAGATTATGTTGAGCTACCGGTGAGTTTAATCCAGCGATCCTTTATCCACCCATCAATCCGTCCGTCTCTCCTTTTAAAATGGTGTATTCCGGTTTAAGGCCCGCTTTTGTGCCTATTGCCGCGTTTAGAAATGAGACCCATGGTATAACTCGTCTTCCTAGCACCACTTCACACCGTTTTCTTAGATTTTGTTGGGTCGGGAGTCATATGCCTGTGAATATCTTATCTTCTGCCGCTTTCTGACTCCTATATTAAAACTCATATTTCTTGAGCTAATTATTGATTTTAAAATACTGGCCGAAGTTGAAAAGAACTTTGTTTATATTCGATAATCTGTTTTTTAAAACAATTTTTCTAAAAGTCTTATTTTTCTATTGTTAAAAGTAGTTGACCCGTGTAACATCCTTTGAATGAAAGATTTCCGAAACATGAGGCGCTCTGTCATGGTCTCCTTTCCCAAATCTGATAAAATAATTTAAATATAGCCTGCGGGAGGTGGGGACATGAAATTTCATAATCTGTGAATGAGATTAAACCTCTAACCTGTAGTCATCTTCGAGCTCCACCCAACTGGTGTGCTTCAGTCCTATAATCGAACATATCCGGTAGTCGAGCCTCACTCTCCCGTCAATCAACACTCAGAGCGAGCAGAAACGCAGAAATCCGCCCGTCCTCAAACAAGATTTCTCATCACAGGTAGAGTTGTCCTGTTTTTTTTCTTCGGTAGACAATGAGAGCCGGGGTTGTTTGGCGTGGTTACAATGACCAGAACAATTATCCTGTCTTCAGTAAAGTGACTGTCATGGAATAGCTTCAAGATTTGATTTATTAATCATTTAAATTCTGACATGACCTGCTTTTTCCTATTGCTAGCTTGAAATAAACAGCCAAATGCCATAACATGTATATCTGGTTCAAGTGATTCTTTTTTCTGTCCCCTCATTTTTTTGTGCAGTAATTTTATTTGTGAATCAAACTTTTCTGGGCATTAACTTTATACAAATCATAAACACTATAAAGAATTCTCCAATCTCCTTAATGTACAGGTACAATGGTGAACTGCTGTGGTCTGCTAACTGCCCAGAAGGAACCAGGTACAGATCTTTATGGAAAACCAACTGTATAATGGGTCTCCCTCTTTTTATACTCTGTGTTTAGTCGTTTCCTCTTCTAAAGGAAAACCTGCACGTAGTTGTAAAAACATTCTTTTTGCTCTTTGAATTTTCAAAGTGTGACTGACCAACAGTAAAATGCCAGTGGTCTATATATTTCTGTTGAGCGTTTTTCTTGTTTTAGTTCCTCTGAGGAGCATCGAGGTGGAGCTGCAGGTGAAGGACCATGTAGCTACAGTGATCTCCACTCTGATCTATGACAACAAGGAGGACAAACCTCTGGAGGCGGTTTT